TGAACGTGCAGGAGTCAGGACTGGGTTACAGCCAGGGCAGTATTCCGAATTCAGGGAGTTTTGCTCTCCCAGGTGTTTACCAAGAGCATCAACTGGTTCACCTGCGCAGCAGAGGTGCAGCTGACACGAGGATGCTCTTGCAGTCTTGGTCTATCTACAGTACCTGATCTCTCACCCTGGTCATCAGGCTTCTGCTTCTGAATTACCCTTGTCCTTACTCATTTGTCTGCAAGTTTCCAAATGACATTATTGTTCAACTATTTCATTTAAATCCATTAAAGATATTAAAGAGCAAAAACAAAACAATCAAAAAAATCCAGTTCCCACAGAGATTATATTTGCCCCAGACCTTCCTGGACACAGCATGAAGATCTTGGGATTTACATCTGAAACCAAAAATAACCTTTAGGGTACAGAAGTCACCTTTTTAAACCACAGGGTCAAATTAACTGGGTTCATGGTAGAAATATGAGTAAAGGTTGAGCATGCAGTGCTAAAGTTAGAACTAGAGCCTCTTTAAACTGAAGTGCTGGATGCAAACATGCCACCTTCCCAGTGTTTTTCATCTGGAAACTGAGCAATTTACACCCAGAGCCTTCCGAGTGGCTCAGAGGGTCCTACCTTGGAACTCTGAACCTCCTTCATTCTGCATAGTCTAGTCAAAGGGAAAAAAAAAAAAGCCGAACACTCCAGAAATCTGGGTAGTTCTGAGTATTTAGCAGGATCTTCCTCTAGTCTCCTCAGCGGTATTGGGTAGTTGTCCAAATAGAAGCCTGGGGCAAGTTTTGCTATGAAGCCATTTGGGTTCTGGAAGGAAAGCATTAACAGATGGGGGTAACGTGGAGCCTCAGCCCTCCTTGCCGTGCTCTGACACAGCAACCTGCACCACAGGGAGCCTCGAGGAGCCCTGCAGACCCCTTGGGGCTGCCCACATCGGTGCTCGTCAGCGGGTTCTGCGGATAATCAAGCCCTTCTTTAGCATGAAGGTCCCCTCTGTGCAGCTCTGGTGTCTGATGCCCGGGCTAAGGGGCAATGCTGACTTACCTACGACCTGAGAGCGCTGGACACCCCGCAGGGTCGCTGGGCTCCAATCCACAGCGCACAGATCTGTGCCCAGATCCAAACGTGCATAGATTACAGCAGGAACCAGACGGTAATTAAGCTGGTTAATTACACTTAAGCATAGTGGTCCAACACTGCATTGCCTTAGACAGGAGAAAAGCCAACATCAAATTATTTAAGACGGAACTACATCAATTTAAAAGCCTAATGGAGGGCATGATTTGGACACAAGAATAACTTCATAGCTGATTTAACTCCCAGAACACTGAGTAAAGAGACTTCCTCCCTCCTTTTGCTCTTGGAATGGGTCCTTTCTAAGGATAGTCAACAAAAAGAGTTCTGAAAGATCTCATTGAAAATATAAAGACTCAGCAGCAACACAGGATGCATGTGACAACACAGACTGGTGAAGTCATTAAATTCAGACTATAAGACAAGCCTATAGGATATCTTAAAGTGGATTTCACCTTCTACTGGTACATGACACAGCCATTCATGCAGCATTACAGAATGTAAAATTTGAGTAAATGCAGATCCTGTTGAGAAAACACAGATAGCACTGATGAGCTTTCTGTATCCCAGCTGTAGATCCCTCCCTCAGAGCACTACCACAAGAGAAAAACTAAAGAGTTTACAGAGTTTATTCTTTAAAAAAAAGTTATTTAAGAAGCAAAATAATTTATTTAAATTTCAACAAAAAAGATGCATTATTGAAAGCAAATCATTATACAAAGTAACAGCAACTTAGCCCTTGGATGCCAAGTCCAGATCCCAACAATTCCCCCAAATCCTGGGTGTTGTACACAAACAGGCTTGGGGAGTAAAGAAGAAGCAAGCTGAGAGTTAGAATCCACTTCAAACTTCCATTATTCTCCCTTCCCCCATAGATCTGAAATTCCTTGAAATCCAACTCTAAGTAACTGATATACATAAAAGCAGTGATAGCTCGAGCATTCTGGTTACTATCTGAAGCCCTACTGATGACTGCAGAACAAGATCTGAGCACCATTGTTTAAACAAGATCACGGAGTGGGACACTAACAGGAACAAGGTACAGTGTTACACAGCCTCATTCAATAGCTGTTCGCAGTCCCTAAAACAGACACATTTTTCAGTTGCTTGCAGATGATTTTTTGAACAAGTGTTTTAACTTTTTAAATACTTTGCCTCAGTCAGGTTATTTATGCCTGTTCTTAGTCAGGATAGTGAAATTAGTCTGGCACTTACTAAGTGTTGTGTTGATAGTTCTAAATACCAACATTCAGAATAAATCTACAAAAACACCCTTTCCAGGAACTTTTCTTGTGCAAAAGCTTCTGTGCTTATGTTCTCCAAAACATAACCTCTCCAAAAACTCTTGGGGTTTGGTGCTTCCAGCACTCAAGGAGTTGCCAGCAAAAAACAGGGTAGCATTTGGCCAGTCACCCACAAGCAAATCCAGTGTCAAGTATTTTTAAGGAAGCCAGTTGGATTTCATACCTGAAAATCACAGCTAGCAAAGCCCTGATTAAAGAAGTGCATCCAACTCATGTTGTTTCCAGTAAACATGCTGCTTTCCCAGTTCAACTTAATACCCTTAACAGACACTGAGTGACCTGTAAAACAGTTACCAGAACAGCTCTGATCAGGAACCTGAGTTACAGCACTCTGCTGCCATTTTAACAGAGTATCCTGTGTGGGAGAATCATAAAACAGAGAGCAGTGAAGAAAAACAGGGTTCACGGGGATGTATGTCTTGCTGTTGCACCTCCTGGTATCATCATTAACCCAAAGAAGACAATCTGGAGCACCTGCAGGTCAGAAACCCAACCTAACACATGTATAATGAACCTGACAATCTGAAAAAAATTAAGTATTTTTAATGACTCCACTGACTTTGAGGTCAAACTTGATGAGATGGCCAAAAAGGGCCCAGCTGACAGGAATGTGGAGGATCAGAGCTGCGCACCAAGGCAGGAGACAAGTGCACAAGTTTTCTTCCTGCTGTCATCAGGCCCTGTCACAGACTATAGCTGCAAAACCAGGTTAGACTCAGAACACAGAACCTTTTCTGCTGGCACTGGAACCGCTCCGCTGGAACGGCAAACTTTGATGCATGCTTCTGCTCCAAGATGCTTTCCCTTACTGAAACAGCTGTATCAGATCCTGCAGCAGCAAAGACCATGGTTGCACAAACACAGTTCTCCAGGAGCAGGTCATGCAAACACATTTCCACCTTCCTTGGAACATCCACCTCCTGGGCTTCAACAACCACGAGGGTAGCACGAGGCCCCCAGAACTCGGTGAAGCATTTGGAACGTTCTGCTGGTAAATCCTGACACCCAAACGCGAGAGATGACGACTCCTAAGAACAGACTTCTGTCCTGACGTGTCATGTGGTGCATATATATTAAATGCAGCCAGTGATCTTCACTGACCATAATTACTCTTAAATATAATGAGACCCAACTTTCAATAGTGATGATTACGCCATCGAGTGTTTAACTGGCAGGCATGGGATCATGTGCAAATGAACTCAGCTAGAGTCACAATGCTCTCTACACTGTTGCCCATCCCTGTGTTTGCTACTGGTAAATCATATTTTAGGTAAAAATATTTTCATTCATATCTGTGTCATATCAGTCAAGGCTAAAATAACTTGTGAAAATATGTATGGGGAGTATCCAGGGTAAACAGGTGATATAGCTTGATACCCTGCACTTCAAGAAGATGATTAAGAATGTAAATAGTGAAGGAAGCAATATTAAAAGCTACTGAGAGTAAAAGGTACTCTCAGTATTTACTGATTTCTAATTTCCATTGGAAACTGGAAAGTCTGGATTAAGATGTATGAACCTGACACCAGCCAGCTGAAATGAAGCCTTTGGCAATTGCTCTTGCTGGGCTGGCAGACTGGCCCAGCAGCCCGGTTGCCTCACCATCATTCCTGCCTCATACCCCAGCATTGCTCCAGCAGAGAGTAACTTGCCTTTCCTGTAGGATGCACTGTCTGAGGCAACAGGGCTGAACCCAAAATCAGTGGCACAAAGACTAGGGAAGACATTATCAAGAAACACCACACTGCAACAACGACCACACGTGAATGTCCCTGTTATAAGAGGTGACAGTGTTTTGTTCTAGAAGAACTCAGGAGACCTGTACAATAATTCTCTCATACTTGGAGGCTGTTAGAACAAGCCCAGATTCCCATCAGTGTATCACACATCTCTGCATTCATCACTGAACTCGCTCCTTCCTCATTTTGCAAGGACACTGCAACCACAGCCAGCTCAGTTTTCTGTTGGGGCTCATTGCTCTCCTCCCCTCAGCCTGAACATACTGAGTCTGTGGTAACAACTACACCAGTTACAATAAACCTGAAATCCTAGACTGCTTCCCTGACAAGGAGACCGTCCAACTACATTTTACAGAGAACCATTTCAAAAAGATTATATTTAAGGTCAGTTGATATGACAAAATAATTCAGAAAAAGAAATTGTAAGTTAAAGACAGAGTTGAACAACAGTTGTCCAAATGAACTAACCTCCAGTTACTAGATGAGCTATTGAGGAGCTGCCCAGAAACATTAGCAGTCTATATTAAAATGAGCAGTTGGCTAATTTGGTCCAACTTGGAAGAGAAAGAGATTCAAATGCTGTAGAAAAACAGTATAGAATATATACAATTCCACATACAAAGAGTCAAAAATGGATGCAATACACTGTCCTCCCTTGTTCAAGAGTTTTACAAATGGAATTTTCCAGCCTAAATCCTGCTGTGTCAGCCTGTTGTGCAAAGAGATCATCCACATTCTTCTTGACGCTTGACTCCTTAAGACAATGAGCTTCCAATAATGTCCTGGTCCTTGGAGTTTCCCTTGGCCTGACAAAACAGGGTAAAATTCCAGATCTTCTTAGCAAACAGGCACTTAAATAGCAAAGATATCTCATTTTTATAACGGGGAATTTTTAGGGCCACTTCTCAGACAGCACTGCAAATCTGAGTCCAATAAAATGGGGACAAAAATCATGTTTATCTTTCACTCTAGAGGTAAAGTGTCATCTTTTTCACAGCATTTAGTCTCTAAAATTCACTTCTCTCATGATTGGTTTTCTTCTTGAACAAACCCAGATAAATCAGAAAAGAATCCCAGTGCATCAAGAGATGTGACTGCTCTATTAACTGAGCAAAGAGGTATATGCCAGAGATGTTCTCTTCAGATGGAGCACAGAAAAGGACCTTGTACTAATGAGCTGGTACCAAAATGCTACAGGGCATCATCCTAAGATGCAACACAGTGGCATCGAGATTCGTCCATCAGCTACATCTGAACCAGGTGTTCTTGGCATCTGGAACAAAAAGGCATCTCTAATTAGCTGTTGTACAACTTTGGGATGAATGTGTGTTATGACAAAGTAGTACAAGTTCTGGACTAGTCTATCCATTCCTATAGTGATGAGCTACATGTTTCAGGTAACTTTTGAAAACCTGACTCAGTTGGGACATTCATAAATTTCACCACTGGCTTTATTTACTGGCTTCAGCTTTCAATACTGAATATGCCAGAGGAATACAGCTCAAGACAAGCCGTGCAGAAGTCATTCAGTCATCAACAGATCAGGACTGTAGAATTCTGCATGTTCTTTCTACTTCAGGTGATGCTTGTGTCACTTCCAAAAAGCCAAAAGGTTGTTGGGAATAGACTTTGTTCTCCTTATGCTTTGCACTCTACTAATTTTTTTTTTTAAAAAAAGAAGTAATTTACTGTAAAATCTAAGCAGAAAAACAAAACTCCAAAAAAACTAGAGAAGTCAGTATTTCTAAGCTGTGCTTATCAACAATTTAAAAGACATGCAGACAAGAAACCAGAAACTTCAATGATAGCTCACCTTCTCACATCACGACACAAGACAATCCCATACAGCCTTGATTCCCATCTTCGTTGCTGTTGAGCTTTTTCATCCGGTACTGTCGAATCTCTCTCACCAGTGTGTAAAAAGCATCTTCCACACCCTGAGTGCAAATGATCCATGTAAAGTATTTCCTTTCCTGACTTCTTTGAGATCACTGTTCTTTCCATCACAGGATTGCTTGACACATTCAAAACACACGCTTTTACAGGAGGAGTAGCCACCTTATCCCACAGTTTATGAGAGCAGGGGACTGGCACCTATGTCCAAACCTCTCCACTTAAACTGTTAACTCTTCCACTAAGGTAAATATCCAGAGTAACAGTCATTAAAAAGAGACAAAGCTAACTTTAACCACAGAGAAATCCTGTGCAGAAAACAAGCTCTACTTGCCACATTTCCATTTCAGAATTGCATGTTTTGGTTACTGCTTAACAATTGTACCTTTCCGTCTTCATCTCACATTGCTGTAGGTAGGTAGCACTGGTTGACTGGACAGGGCCACAGATTCAAATAATACTGACTCCTTCAGCTACATCACAGAATCCCAGAACGGTTGAGGTCGGAAGGGACCTCCAGGGATCACCTAGTCCAACCCCTGCTCCAGCAGGGACACCCAGAGCATGTGGCACAGGGTGGCATCCAGGCAGGTTTTGGGGATCTCCAGAGAAGGAGACTCCATTACCTCTCTGGGCAGCCTGTGCCAGGGCTCTGTCACCCTCCCAGGAAAGAAGTTCTTCCTCACATGGAGATGGAGCTTCCTGTGATTCAGCTTGTACCCACTACCCCTTGTCCTGTCACTGGCCACCACTAAGAAAAGTTTGGCCCCATCCTCTTTACGTTCTCCCCTCAGGTACT